TTTAAACCAGCATCCCTCTTTGCAAGAGAAACCACCGTCTAATCCAGTGTGCTTTAACCGCTTGGCTACAAAGAGGTTCACAATCAAGCAAGATTCTATTTGTCTTTAAAGCACACTCACTCATACAGATTTTCTTGAAAGGCATATTTGCTCAGTAAATATATTTTTATAAAAATCTGTCCACTTCTCCAGGATATTTTTTGCTCATTTTTTTACCATTAATTTTGACTTATTTATTTATCAATAAAATTGGCTGTGAATGAATTATTTCCATCATTTTCTATTAGCCATATGTCAAATTTTTATAAATTTTTTTCAACTTTGATATATTATTGTTGTTGTTTTAATATATTTACTTTTTTACTTGTCCTTGATATTATCATTAAAAAGGGGAGATAAGCATGCTTTGATCATATCTTTTAGAAGTGCTTTCAAGTAGCCTTTTTATTTGATTTTCTAGTACCAATAGTAAACTGTATATGCAATTTTATAGATAACTTCATTTGGATTTATAATGAAAATAAAATGCATACAGATATCAGGATGTTGGTTAGAACAATTTTTCATGCCTGAAATCCAAATTTAACTCATTAAAATGGAAATCTGAAATAAAATCATTTAAACTCATAAAAATTTACACACAAGCATTTTCTGAAGGAAATGCGATTCAAAGTAAAAATTGTTATTTTTAATTCAGTAAAAAGACTGCTCTAGATAGCATACATCTCCTTTGATAAATTTCATTAATTTTTTTTTCCAAAATCTATGCTTCTTAACTCACAAACATACATTTAGATAAACATTTAAACAGTCAGTAACTCTCCATATTTACTAAATAACAGAAATCACATCACATGAAAACTTCCAACAACAACTTCTAAAATGGATAGCACATGTAATGAGAAGAGAAAATAATGGTATAATCAAAATGATGACTTTCCACACTACATTAAACAAAAGGCTAGGAAGGAAACTCTCATCAATATTAAAAAGAACAATGACAACAGACTTGAGAAGTCTAATTTCTTGAAAACTGTTTTAATAAAAAAATATTATAAATTTCAACTGTCAATAATGCTGTTTGATCAATGAATGTTTCAACATTACCATTACCCGATATACTATATATGTGGCATCTATCAGTGATCGTTGGCAATGTCTTCCCACCTCTCAATGTCCACATCTATCGCTCTCATGTCCCCTTTGCAGACATCCTTGAAGCGAAGATGAGGTTGCCCTCTTGTCAGTGTCCAGTTCCTCATACAGAAGGACATGCAGAATTCTCCCATCCAGTATACAGTGGATATATCCAAGCCAGAAGAGTTGGCACTGTAGCAGAACTGTTTCATGGGTGAGAACTACAGCATTGGTGACCCAGTCAAAGCAATTGATATACAACAGGCTATAATTATTATAATACTAGTGTAATACCTATAAAAAATAACAGAATTATTTGCATAAGGTGTGTTTGAATAGTTTTTAGATCAACCAAGAAGACCACCTCACTAAAATTTTAATGTTTGGTCATTTGGCCAGATTGAGGAAAGTGGGTCAGGAGGGCTGAGAACTTTTCAGCATCCTATTCATATATGGAATGGCTGTTCTGTCAAGGATTAGCGTATCTGTATGCTCTGCTTGAGATCAAAATGTTACTCGAACATTCTCTCTAGGATCTGTGTAGTATATGTGCACTCTGCCTAGGAACAAAATGTTACACTCCCAGTTCGCTTAGGGCTCTGTTGAATATTGTATTTACAAATAAATTTTACAATTCAAGCAACAGAATACTGACATAGTGGACATGTCACCTACATGCTTACCTCCAGCTCAGAGTTTCAAATCAGGGCAGGATACACATGTTAATTTTTATATATCAGTGTAGTATTTGAAGTTTTTTTTTTTTTTTTTTAATCAATTCCCCCCAAGCTAGGCGATAATGCCACTAAGATGCAAGGGGCTACTGAAAAGGAAAGAGAATGAAAAGACTAAAAGGGACTGGAAATTTAATCCTAAACAGGAAATAAGGGATAAACGTTTACTCCTGTTTAAAAGAATGAAATGTACCAAAAAGTCATACTGTTCATTATTATTATTTATTTTTAATCATTTTACCCCAAGAAAGATGATAATGCCACTAAAAAGCAAGAGTTTACTGAAAATGGAAGAGAATGAGAAGACTTTAGTGGGGAGAAAGAACAATAAAAGAATAGAATTCAGAAAGATTTAATAGCTTTAATTTCTGATCACTGAAAATCCTTTTCTACTTGGTTTCTATACAAAATAATTTTTTACAATGCCTATAGTAAAATTTTTTACAATGCCTACTTATAACAGTGTCACTTGCTGGCTTACCTTGTTAACCCAGGTATTATTTTTAAACAATAAATGATATGTAGTAACTTTTATTTTTTTATACTGTCACTACCTAAAAATTATACATTCTTTGTTTGTATATTTTCTCAAAATAGCACAATAGCAGATTTTAATATTGTTTAAAAAT